GCAGCAGCATTACACACAGTAACATTAGGAGCTGGGAAATATGAAAGCAAACTGTGGATAAAAAGAGGACAAGATTGTTATGACAGCTGCTGTTTTTTCCAAGGTCAAGAGCGAGCTGTGAAGCTTTATTTACTTTTGTCTTCTGTAATTGGCATTAGTGTTCCAAGGTTACCGCTAGATTTACATCCATGTGTGCACATATTGCATCATTTCCAAAACACTCCATTTATTTTTTGTATACTAACTTCAAAAACAGCGTACTATGGCTAACTATAGTTGGTATATGGCTCATACTGTATACTGTGTGCATGTGGTATCAAAGTGGATAACAGCCATAACAACATGTTAAAGGTCAAAAGGTCATGTTGCTGATTTATCATCCCAGTCCCTCCTTTTGCAGATTTAAAACTAAATAAAATATGTGTGTGTGTGTGTGTATTTTTGGGGCTTTTTGCTTTCATTGGAGAGGACAGCTGGAGATTGACAGGAAAGAGGTTGGGGGTGACAGGGCCCCTGCAGCAAGGACTTAGCCTTGGTACATCTGGTACCAGCTCTGCCAGGTGAGCTGTACGGTGTGCCAATTTAGTAGATCTTTGCAGTCTAAAATGTCTGCTTTCACGGCAGCTGTTCTTAAAGAATTGGTGTATATGTTGCAATGTTTTGCAGGGGCTTTTTTGTAAGCAAAAATTGCAGGTCACATTCAGGCCATACAATGTCAGCATGCTGCTACTATGCATGTAAATGGAATGGAGCCTTGATTAGTATCATTGGTAGCCTGTGTTTAAGCTAGTTTCACATCAAAATGGCTACTGTGAAAAAGGTCTATGGAGTCTAATAAATTTAACGTTGATGTTTGATGCTCAACAGAGAGACTATGACTAGCTACTATGGCCAAGCACAAGCTTACAGACAATCCCTGATTACCACATTTACTGAGGATCTCATTGTGATACTGAGCTGATACTGAGCTGATTCATTTCATACCTGGATGGTTACTGAACGCCCACACTGAGTTAAAGAGAACAACAACATCCAAGCAGTTCCTTGGAGGAACCTAGAACATGCACACAAACACCTACCAGCCTGGTGTTTGCACTTTGGGACACACACTTAAAGCTGCAGTAGGTAACTTTTATAAAAACTTGAACTAAAACAACCAATCAGAGCCAAGAAAGATATAATGACACTTTAGGTGGGAGGCTTGAACATAGTTGAGTCTCATTCCCCAAAGCATCTGTATTTGACGCCCTGTGAATGAAACTATCAATCGTAACAATCAACTATCTGTTTAAGTCGATGTGCCCTAACGTATACAGGGTTCCTCAGTGGTGGACTGTAAGTACACTGGTTTAAGTAGTGTACTTCAGAGGCACTTGTACTTCCTGGTTTAGACGTCCACAGCATTTCAGGGGGAATAATTGTACTTTTAACTCCACTCCATTTATTGGATATTATTTATATAGTTTTGATTAATTGTATTCAAGTCTATTTACTAGTTGCTGATTACATTTTAGACATATATATATATATACATTTTTTATAAAAATGCTTCCAATATATTATTTCATCAGTGGGAATAACCCAACCACTCACAGTGGCCATTTTCTTGCTTTAAGTACTTTTACTATTTATGCTATAAGTACATTTTGTTGACCATACTTGTGTATTTGAGATTTTGAATGCAGGAATTTTACTTATAATTCAGTATTTTTGCACTTTTACTTAAGTTGTAGCAACCGGCTGCTTCTTGTAGCCTAGCTAACGTTACTGGCTATGATTTTCACATTTTCATTCTAGTTAGCTACTGCATTCACAATCTTAAGTCCCTTTCTCACATCCCAGTGCTGGCTCACTCCACAGGCTCCCAGTTCCTTTTGATTGGTTTCAGGATTTTACTGAATTTTAAAGCAGGTCTAATTTTATTTATTTTATTTAGTTTTCTTCATTTATTCTGCTCTTATTGTTGTATGTTGGTATTTATTTTTATATTTTTTTATATTTAATTACATTTTGTGTATCACGACTATTGCTTTTACTGTCCTTCATCATCAGTGTCTTCCTCTAATATATTTTTACATCTTGTTCTGTATTTCTGTCTGTCTTCTGTCTGTTCTTGCTTTGTCTGTCAAAGCACGTTGTAAACTCTGTTTTTAAAAGGTGCTATATAAATAAAGTTATTATTGTTATTATTATTACATATTATTTAGTTGAATCTGATGCAGCGGTTTGTAGACTTGGACTAATGTATTGCGTCTGTTCTTGTACTGTGACCCTTTTATGTCCCTGTATGGGATTACAGGGACAACACATCTTAATAAAAGAAGTAAGTTAACATGAATTAAACCTGACTCAAAAATGAATTGTTGAAGCAACTCAGTTGTTTTGAGTGTACTGCACCCAAATAATTCTTAATGATCCATCAAAGTGTAAATATTTGATGTTCGTCACATAAAAAAAATTAAATAATTGGCTACCATTTTGATCAATATTAATTGTAATGTTAATGTAATAATTGGAAGAAAACTGAATAAACTTGTTGTTATTTTTGTATAAGGAGGATGCATTTAGTTAGTTACTTAATTCAGATACATTCTGTTGACTCATTTTAAATAAGTTTAGAGAAATGCTGCATAGAGTAACTTCAATTAACTGCATGGAATTGTTATTTAAGTAAATAAAAACTTGAGTCACTTCTGCTCAAATATCTTTCATGCTGTAATTGTTTGAGTTAATAAAGTTAAACTGTTTAAGGAGTTGGATTAACTCATCAGGTTTTACAGTGAACATGTATCTGGTCTCCATTTGATCCTCGTTAGAAACAAAACATCGACTATGGAATCATGCAAACAACTGGATTGGAAAATGGTGTACTGACACTATATTGTTATGTTGCAGGGTTACTGTAGACCTTGCGTTGCCCCAGTGCTTAGAGGTAGAGTTAGAGGGACACCTGGTGGTGAGAGAGACCTAAATGCAGTAAACCTTACTGGAATATTCTACCCACGCTCTCACATGGATTAACTTCTGCCTGTGCACACTGTATTTCAAGGTTTTCTCTGTTTATGTGAGATTTACTCACATTTGCACATCCAGTGTTTTTATATTTTATATATATATAGTACATTTAAATATAATTCTCTCATCCTTACATTACTCTTATGTCAGTTATCATATAAAGTATATTTTTCACTTTTCTTTATTTATACATACTGTACTGAAGTTAGTCTGTAGACTGTAACATAAATACGACATAACTTGGATTCATACATCTTCACTCAGTAACTAGAGTGTAGTAACTAACGATTATATTCATTATCAATTGATCATGTTCTCGATTAGTCTAATCAAAAATGTCAGAAAATGGTGAAAAATGTTGATCACTGTTTCCTGAAGCTCGAGGTGACATCCTCAATGTCGTTTTTCTTGTTTTTGGTTAAAAAGTATTCATTGATGATCAAAATATTTTAATTAAATAGTTAATAATTAATTCATTTGTGGAATAATTGTCAAAGAGTATCTCTATTCTGCATGCTCTGGTATATGTTGGTTAATTTGTTAAATGCATCCGTGTTTATATGTTCTATGTGTACTTATTTTCTATTTTATGGACAATTGAGTTTATTTGGGAGCATTTTCATTATATTCTTATTATTATATCATTTAGAGCCAGATATGCAACCAAAAGCATATGAATGTATTATTATCTCATCTAATCCTAAAATGTTTAATAAGTGAATATGTTATAGTGAAGAACTTTATTGAGCACACTGCAAAATCAGATTATAAATCTTATATCAGCATTACAATCCATTTTCACATTGCATCTGTATCAAACAAACAACAAACAGAAAAGAAGCCTGAATCAATACATTTAACGGCATTCTCTGTCAAGCCACTACTTCTTTATTCTGATAGTTCACTTGCATCTCTCTCCTCCTCCTGCAAGTATTGTGTGATATTGCCTCATGCACTTGAAAGGCCTACGACTGCTAGGAGAGATACCAAGAGATTTCACACACACACACACACACACACACTCAAACCCAGGCACACGCACCCTTCACGAGCTGGGAGATGAGATAGGCAACTTATGTTGTCTGTTGACTGCCGGAGCTTGTTGATATGGCTCCAGTCAGCCCCGGGGCCGGACCGTGGTGCAGGAACAAAGCACTGAAATATTGGGGGGAAATCATGAGAAGTGCCTATTAGTGTTTCTGTAAACATATTTCCTTATCGTGCGGCTGTTTGGGCATGTCGACTCAATCCTAGCTCCTGAATCTGCAGGGAAGCAGGTTGCTTTGTTGCACAGCGCTCAGGTGTCAATCAAAGCCCGTCTTGATGTGCTGCCATCCAGCGGTGAATCCTGGGAAATAACTCGGACTCTTGACTGCATTGCAGCCAAAAACACAGGGCTGGAACCAGCGGTTCTGGGGCAGGGCACGGAATAGATGGGAGGGGCGGAGTGGGTTTATTCTGCATCTCTCTATCTGTTAATCCCACCCTCTTCTGACTGTGTGTGCTGTTCTGGGTGCAGTTCATGACATTTTGACCGTCGCTGCGAGGCGCTTTAATGGCTGCAGGGTGAAAGTATGCAGTGAAAAACAGTCCAAAGGCAGAGATCAATGATACTACATAAGTGGTTTATTTGGCTGTAATTTACCTGATGTGTAATTTCCTGACATTGACATCGGTTATTAAAAGGACCTGAATTTCAGATACATCAAATTGATCAATTGAAAACAAAATTCCCATGAAGTCGTACCGTTACCCAACAACGATTTATTGTTGCGTCAACAGGTGATTGTTTGTTCGCAAAATACAGCCGAGAGAGAGAGAGAGAGAG